CTGGCGCTGCACATTAAAAACTCTGTTATTTATGGTCCATCTAAGTTTTAATTTGATTCTTTTTTTCAGCTATGAACTTGTGGATGGGCCTGTTTGGATAACATTGCCTCCAATTTATTAGAGTTGTGTCTACATGGCCACCAAAACAGGTATAGATTTCATTCTTCTAGTAATCTTTTGTTTCTGTATATCAGACTTAAGCAAAGAAAGTAGGAAAAAAATGAGCTCTTCATAGTTCTTTTTATTTATTTAGTGCCGAATTTTCATACATCATCAGGGCGATGGTATATTTACAACTGATAATGTTGTCATGAAAGTCCCCCTATCTACCTGGGGGCTTGAAAATTACAAGTAACATACATCTCTTCACTCTTCAGATACTCTTATTTCTGCAGTGCAGCATACCATCTCAATGGTGTGATCTGGAGAGGAGGATGGTTTAGCGCTAACCGTTCAAAATGCCTAAACAACCGTTGGCGCTTTACGCTTGATGTGCCGAGATGTCAACTCTGAATCCGTCCCTCCAAGCATTTCCCACATCACCTGTACATCCTCATATCCACAGGACTGTATATCGCCTTGAAGCTTCAGTAATCCAGCACCTGATGTTAACAAAAAGTAAGTAATCCACAAAGCTGTTTTTTTCACTCTTTCCTTGAGACTCTACAATTCATTGCATCTTAGTCATTACTTATGAGACAGTGTCTCTTTTTAAAAAGTTAGATTGTAGAAAAAACAGGGGGAGAGGTTTTGATTTAAAAAAAACCTAAAACTAGTTCATTCATATGTAGCTTCTTCCTATATGTTCAAAAACACCGAATGCAGGTAAGTTTTATGACTAACCATCTTTACGAGGCTTGACACGAGCAGAAACAGCACCCCAAACACGTCTAACCGGAAAGACCATTTTTTGCCACAAATCCTCCATCTCCTCTTCCTCTACTTGTATGTTTGGTTGAAAATTAAAGGGTTTACAGTGTGCTCTTTGTTGCAATAAAGAACGAAATGACTGGAGATTAATAAAGGAGTGATGTGTTTTGCTTCCACTCTTGATGTGGGGTTTCATAAAAGCAGTTTAATTAGTGATATGGACAAATATATATAGGAAAATAGGGATGTATAAGTTTGAATCATCTAACAACTCTGCAGACAAAATTTACCCCACATTGGATTTGATTTTTTTTCACTAAAGAAACAAAAAATATTCACCGACGCGACCGTCACAGTGCTTGTGTAAGAGATATTTTATTGCCACGAGTCACTTCTATTGTGGCTGCGCGGCATTTTGTCTTAGTTAATTATTTATTTGGCCCGGCAAATTACTTTTGAAATATTTTGAATTGTTATAAATATTTCAACTTTATTTTGAAAAAATATTGAAGGTATTTTTAAATTTTCAAGATTTTTCTTTAGTCTGATCATAAAAATTTTGATTAATATTTTTTTTAATTGATATGCAAAAATATGATAATTTATAGTATTTTTTATATAATTTTTAAGTATCTAATTTTTTTATTTAAAATATCAAATTAATTAAATTGATTTTTGAAAAATATAATATAACAAATAAAAATGAGAGTTTGAATTTACAGGAGTCATTAGTTAGTTTAGTTCTCGTGGAGACAATCTTTTTGGAATACAACACATGTCATGTTTTCAGTGGGAAAGAAACAAGAAAATGGTACCTTTATATTATAATTAGAAAAAATGTGTGGTTTGGACGGTTTGACTCTTTAGATTTTTGTGCCTCAAATCAAGAGAACATTATTAGTGAGCCTTTTTTTTAAAAAAATAAAAATTATTTACCCCCAAGTATAGTAAAATAAATTTTTATATTAATTTAGGATATTTTTTATAGCATTGGCAGTTTTTAATTTTGTTATATTTGGAGATGGGGTCAAGTAATGAGACCAAGATTCCTAATCGAAGAAATGGAAAAGGAAAGGAGTGATAAGCAGTAAGATATTTTTGTGTATTGAAGGATACGTGGCTCTATTATTTATTACGACTTTCCCCTACTGTCGGCAATGGGGTCTAACTCCACGCTTTAATCAATTTTTTCCATGGATTTTAGTTTGTACATTTAGTACTAGTTTGGTGTGAGGCATATAATATAATAATTTTAAAATATATGTTGTGATTTTTTGGCTCATTGTTAATGTTATAGTGATAGAATAACTTATTTCATATACATGACTGAAATTTCAAGAGGTTTGATTGAATTTCTCTTTGTTATAACATCACGTAGTACAAATAAAATAAAAGTTGATTAGATTATACTTTTGAACCTTTTAAGTATATAACTCAAATGATGTAACATTTAATGAGCAAGCAACATAATTTCACTGCTTCAGGATCTAATTAGGTGCTACCGCTTTATTTATCAAATTTATCTTTCATGCCACATTTTATTTCGCTGTATATAACACATGCGAGTCAATTAGGTATAATTTATCTTAAAATATGTATTGTATTCAAACGTGATGATTTGGAAGAGCTTGGATGGGAATTAGTTTGGTCCAAAGCCGTGGTAATCAGCCCAACTATAGAATTCAGCCCAACAGTATGCGAGTGTGACTATTCAGTCCAGTTAGAGCGTTGGCTTGGAAAGAAACATCGACCCATCATGAACCATTTTCCTAAAAATTACAATCTAGAAAAAAAATACCTACACATTTTATTTTATTTTATCATAATTTTTAAAAATAAAATCAATAATCCCCGAATACATCTCGATGATACATACGTATCTGTCCCCTCTCAGAATACATACACCCTTCCCCTATGTATCTGAATATCCATTGATGTATCTACACTAGCTAGTATTATCTTTTGATCAGAAGAATATCTATAAATAAGGAAGAAGCTTAAAGGTTTCATAGGTATGCAAGATGAGCTGCTAACTCGCAAACGGATCGATGCTAGCTAGCTTTTCCTAATAGTCTGAAAGCTCCAATCCTGACTTTTACAGTTGCACCATTGTCATCTCGTTCACCTGATACCTAAAGGGAAAAGAAAAACATAATTGAATAAATTAAATGTTTATCTACTTTCATCAGATATCATACTTGTTTCACTTTATGTTCAATAGGAGCCTGTATGCATATGTCATATAATTTAAAAGCAAATGAAGCATCAGATAGAAACGGATTGCACGTCTATGGTTTCTTCAAACAAAGACTAATGGAATAAATATGCCTAAACTCACCAATGTCTTTCAGTTCATCATTCCGGAACAGATGCCTTACTATAAGCAAGAAATCAAAAAATGCACATAATAACTGCTGTAGCATTGTTCTATACACCTGTTAAAACAATGCAGTTAAAGTCAACATCAGTTCAAGTTGGAACTCTTCTCATCCAAAGCCAAACACTTTTGTTAGTTTAGCTCATCTTATTGGAACTCAGGCTTCCATTTCAGCATTGGAATTCTCCCCAATTGCTACACTCCTAAGTAAGGTCATAGCTTATTCACTGCTTTGAGAGATTTTCGATTGCACTGATACAGAAGAGGATTGGACAGCTTTAAAATACATTGACCTTAAAGCTCAGCTTTCATAACATCGATAGTGATGTCATACATTTAAACTTCTTTATAAAGATAATACATATAAAGCTGGCTTGTGATTGAAGCGCAGTTGTTATATACTTGCCTGATAGTTATTAGAATACTGGTCAATGATGTGGTTGAGAACCATAAAGTCGCAGAGAAAAAAAAATTTGGTGATTTTTTCCATGCATCTGTCTTATTCTTATAGTCTTGGTGGACAAAGTTATCTGAATTTTCAGAAGATTCAGGAAACAATGAAAGAACTCTAGCTTACTGCAAGTTCAAAAATTGTTGCAGCAGACGCCAGAGTTGGAAAATAAAGAGTATCATATACCAATCAATATCCAAGCAAACCACTTAAGCAAGTCTGTACTTTGTACCAACTAGTAAGGGACCTAAAGGTGCAAAACATTCACGAAGTGCCAGCAAATTTGAAAGAAAGCAGGATCATGAGGACATTCATGAAGCTGGTATAGATGACTACAAAGATAATGAGACAGTCAACCAAGGCACAAGAAGTACTACTATCAATGAGGTTAATAACCAGATGATCTCTGCCACAGAAAACCCCTCCATCAGAGATAGAACCAAAAAAGAAGGCAATGCTAGAAAAAAGAAAATGTCTAAGAAAAAATCCAAAGTCATTGTCAAACCACCTTCAGTACAACAAACTGTTAAGAGCAAGAAAAGAACTATCCTTTCTGAAAATGATGGTACTCAGGACGATGGGAATACTCCTAAAGAAAATAACGACGAGAAAGAGCAAGTTGAGTAAAAGAAAATAGACGCAGAAGTTGTGGAGCTCAATGAGAATAACCAGGAGATGGTTTGAAAGAATGACAATGGTGAGACCAATGAAGCCGAAGCTAGCACTTGTGGTAACAGTCTTCAAGAATCTGCCAGGAACAAGAAAACAAAACTGACGATATTAATGGTGCTGATACATTTGTTGATAACACTAACAAGATTCAAAGTTCTAATAGCTTAACTTCTGTTATCAATGCCATGCCGGGATTGAATTTGGTGGTTGACCTCAACTCCAAATTTGTATTAAACGAAGACAGAGTCAACAATAACTAGGTAGCTGACTTCGACACTGGAAAGGTTTCAAACCGGGACAAATCCAACAAAAAATTAGTGACTGCCCTAAATGCTGAACAAGTCTCAAACCATGACAAAGTTGGCAAGATCATAAAAGAAACACCACAAACTGAAACCAGATCATGCGATGAGCAGATTAAAAAAAATAAGAGAAGAGAGGGAGGAACAGAAAAGATGCTGAAATTCAACTAGAGGTCACATCTCCTAATAGAGTCACTGTTATGGTTACTGATGAACGTATACAAAGAGAAATGCATTACAAGGAGGACGTTGAAAATCAAGGCTTTTCTCCAGTTATCAAAGGAAAAAACAAAAACAAGAAGTATGATAAGATGAGCAAGGAAAATGGTAACAACCCTGCCAAAGGCTAGGGATACAAAAACAGTCTCGATAACCTTTATATTTAGTGTCATTTACTGGAACATCAGGGGAGTGAGAACAAAAAATGCTTTACCCAGAAATAAGAAGCCGATCAAGTATTACAAAGTGGATTTTGTGGCCCTCTCAGAGCCAATCCTGAGCATGAACAATATTCATATGCACATGAGATATCTTGGATATCAACACTGTATAGCTAACTCTAATGGACAAATATGGCTGTTGTGGACTGGTAGTATCAGACTTCTGTAATTGACAACTCAGATCAACAAATTATTATCAAAATGCACCATGCTAATATTAGCAGTGATGTATTTGCTACTGCTGTGTATGCTAAGTGCACATCTGCTGAGAGGAAAGATCTTTGGGCTGATATAGAAAGAGTTCATCAAGTTGCCACAGGTCCTTGCTGTAGCACTGGTGATTTTAATGTCATTCTTGAACCTGATAAGAAATTCGGGGGCAGACCTCACAGGATGAGTAATAGCCAGGACCTTAGTTGTTATATGGATAATTGTGAGGTCATGGACTTGGTTTTATTGGTCCTAATGATATGGAAAACAACAATGAATAGCAAAAGAGAAGAAATTCTCCAAGTAAAGAATTTGAGACTACACAATAAGAGTCTCCAATTAAATGGCTTTAGAGACTTAAAGATGGTAGCTAGAGAAGACATATTGGAAAGAGTGATCAGACGTAAATATGGAAAAGGAAATGACTGGTGCACTTACCAGTTAGTCCAACTTATGGATTCACTGTTTAGAAACATAACATCGGAAGCCCATGGGAGAAATCCTTGGACAATTTTTTTAAAAAAAATCAGGCAATGGAAAAAGAGAAAATATCTGGTAATAACAAAATATAAACATTACATGGAAAGTACATTTTCTAACGTATATGGGCTGGAGATTACAATGAAAGCACTAGAGCAGAGTACCTATGTTGAGGGAACTGGAAATATCAGTATAAAGGAGAAGCAATGACGGGAAGATTAGTAGAATGAATCAACTGATAGAACTCCTCAAGCATGTTAATCAGAGTGGTAACCTGCAATTGATGTAAATAGAGATAGCAGTTTTCAGAAAGATCATGTTATAGCTTGCAAAGAGAAACAGTTAGGGAACAGCAGCAAGAGGACTTACCAATAAGGAAAACAAAAGCACCATCAAAAGTGGCTTGGCTCTGGATGGACTGCATTACATATTGCATGCTCAAACTCAGGATAATTTGCAGAAAAGAACTTAGATACATATGGCAGGGTCTATGGATGCATTAGACAGCCAGAAAGGCAGAAAATGAGGAAGAAACAGAGAACAATCAGGAGAACAAGAACTCATAGATGCTTATAAGGAAAGCAAAAGACTTATCTTTGTAAACTATAGATGTCTACAAGATTTAATCTTAAAGAGTGTTGTTTGTAATATCAATTATTAAAAAAGTTTCAGTTATAAATATGATACTTACAGCAGTTTACAATTGAAGCATGGATCAAAGCAAATTCATTAAAGTTACTAAACTTCGTAACTAGCAAAATGGGATGCAAGAATCAAATGTAGAGTTAATATCTGCAAACTGTATCTCATAAGCCTCAACCATTTTGAGAAATCACAACTAGAATTGCTTAAATATGATAACATTCAAACAATATATTAAAATAAATGAAAATAAATAGATTAATTTAACTTTATATTGATAATTTGTTAAAAACAATGATAAATAACTAGCTAAAAAACCAAAACAAAGAGAGCTGCCATATGATGGTGAGTACAACCGCATTATGATCCAAATGATGGGTTAACCCATGTTGGCGGGCAAACAGGACTTAATGACACCCCAGAATAAAAAGATTCAACCTTCCCATTTTCAAAATTGTAAACCCCCGTATCTTTTCCACCACCTGCTTCCAAGGCGAAATAGCTCTCAAATACATCATCTGTGAAATAAATGTGATTAGGTTTCAGCCCTTTAACCATAGCAGTTGCTCCATTCCGTCCCAAAAAAATTGTTGAATCTCCCAAAGTATTAATCTCGTTCAATTGATTATATCTATTTCAAATACCTTAAACTTAATGGTTTCATAATCGCTAGTATATGTGTTATTCAAAAATCGAATAAGAAGTAACAGTGCACCCGATATCTCAACAAAGTAGTACTGAGTATCAGGTTGATGTAATATAGGATCTTTCAGACGAGTAAGTCGACGCGGCACTACAATTGGTTGAGGAACGCTACAGCCTGGAACATCAAAAACCCATAACTCGCCATCATAAGTAAAAGCATAAAATTTACCCTTATAGTGAAAGAGACTGTTGAATCTAGCATTTCTTCTCATGACAATTTTAGTCCAGTTGACGTCTCCCGGTCGCCAAAAGGCGAGATCACCTCTACCATATGTAAGATCGGAAATCACGAGCACATAATCTGATGTATGAGAAGGATTTACAGACAAGACAGCTTTGTCAATTGTGTAATGAGTTATTTCTGCATCTTTCTGTAAAGACTCCTTTAGGGCGTTTTGTGAAGGAAGTTGAATCTGGGTACGGGAAAATGGATGAAACAAGTTAAATTCTCCTGTACATGAGTCTGTAAACATCCAACCTCCCTCTGATGGAAAACATCTTCGCCCTCTAATTTCTGGGAGAAATATGCGTGAAATTTTGTTTTTGGAAAGAGAGTAAAATTCTCGATAATCATCATCTTTATCTGCTAGCATAAGCAATGGAATTTGTGGAGAGTATACATCAAAATTATCTTTAGTGGCAGCAGTTCGCCATGAGATGCAGACAGCACCAAAAGCAATAAAATCTTCAATCACTTTAACACGCTCGGCAACTGTACTAATGAGGTGAGATGGCAATTCTGACAAGTTCGCCATATAAATAGTTAAAGAAGAGACTACAAAGGGGCAAGAATAACCAGATGAGAATGGTAATTGCTAAGGCTTTGGAGGGGATTTATATAGGCAGACGTGATAACAACAGGAAATACCATAGATAGACAAGTTTAATGTTCATAAGTACTAATCCAATTATTTATATGGGGAGAACTACACAAATTAGAATATATTTAGGAAAAATTATATGGGGAAAACAGATATACCCTTTAACTTTCTGATTTAGCGTTGATATACCCCTTACTTATAAATTAAATGGTTCACATATATCCTTTTCCTCTAATGGAAATGAAAAAATAATAATTTTCAATCTAAATTTTTATTTTTATTTTCTAAAAAATATAATCTCATATAACATATTTTTTTGAATTTTTTTTGTTTCAATGACTAATTTATAATTATTATTTTGATAATCAAATTTATTTATGTTTCACTAATATTCTTGTAAAACTTATTGTAGATGACCAAATTTTTTTGAATACGAAATTAAATTACAATACACACAAAAAAATAGTTTAATTTTTTTCTCTTTAAACTAAGGAATGAAAGAAAAAAATAAAATAAGAATAAGAAACTCAAATAATTTTAATAAAAGAAGTCAAAAAATAATTTATGTATGAAAAAAATTAAAATATACCTTGAACTTTTATAGAAGAATCATATATACCACTAAATAATTTTTTAAAAAAAATATAAGTAATAAATATAAATTTAAAACTAATTATTTAAAATTTCGTTGAATGAAGGGTATATGTGAGCCATTTTGTAACGACAGGGGTATATTTAAGCCGTTTGTATAACGGTAAGGGTATATATGAGCCACTTTTATAACGAGGGGTGTATCAGCTCCAAATAACAAAGTTGAGGGGTATATCAGACCCTTTTCCCAATTATATATAATGATAAATTAATAATTTAAATTAAATGTTATAAGTACATTTTGAATTAATTATATCATGTAACAAATTATTTGTGAGTAATCTCTCTCCCTCAAACTCTCGTTTGCCACTCTCCCTCTCACTCACTTTTACACAAACACAAATATATAAAATGTATTTGTGTTTGTATAAAGTGAGAGAAAATTGTATATACACATATATTTTCGTTTTCTTCTCTCCTCTCTCCCAGATCTTGCTCGCTACCCTCGCCTCTCTCACTTATACAAAAAGAAATGAAATGTATAAATTTTGTGTTGTATAAAGCGAGAAAAAATGTTATATGCATATGCAAATACATATATCTTCATCTTATACACTTATAGTTATACAATACAAATATTCTCATACCCAATTTTTTTTGTCTTTCTCTCTTTCTCGTTTTATACATACACAAATTATACAATTAATCTTTTGTATACAACTGCTTTCATTTGTATATGTATAGCAAATTATACAATTGATTTCTTAAAATATATATAGCGAAATACACATACTTATATTTGCTATCGAACACAATTATGCAAAGTGTAACTATATCATACAAATATAGTTTTTATATTTGTTCTATGTGAAAGTTATTCATATATTTATTCTACATTAAATTATTATTTATCATCAGAATATATATTACTCTAGTAATATCTATATATCTGATAGTATATCAAGTAATAATTGACCACTCTTTTTCACTGAATCACTTCATGTTCCTCATTAGTCAACTTCTTTGATTCTTCCTCTTTTATATATATATATATATTAGTTTTCTTGCACGTGATTTGCGCGTTTAACTCATGAGTGTATTATTTCTTAAAAGATAATATTACTAAATAATAAAATATGTCTAATAGAGATTTTTTATTTTGTTTTACTACTAATTGTGACACTCCAATTTTCTGACCACCAAGTGAATGCATCGAGATAATAATATGAGAAATTAATAAAATAAACTTTGTTTGTAATTCAAAAAATAAGTTTGCAAAGCTAAAAGGAAAAATAACAACAATCTAAATTAAATTTCTTGATAGTTCCGTTTTATTGATAGAATAATGCTAGATAGTGTAAGATTAACTTTGAGTGTGTAAGATTAACTTTGAATAAACCTTTTAACTTTTTTAATGAATGTGTTTTAAGTATTGTATTAAATTTTTATCCACAAACACTTTAAACTAATTAGTTAACTATAAATATTTAAAACTAAGATGTAAAAAGTTTTATCATTTATATTTTAAAAATTAGGATATTTATGAATAACTACTATTATTATATAAAATTTAATTCTGTCATACATAACTTATCCACCATTAATCTAATATTATATGTTTCACATTTTTTTCCATAAAAAAAGAAAAGAAAAGAGTAAACATCCTATTCTATCACACTCATTCTTAAAGATGAAAATTAATGTATATGTAAAAACTGAAGTACAGAGAAAAGAAAAAAAAAAGGTATACATGAGCAAGATAATTAGGCATTACCTTTGTTTGTCTCTATAGTGAAAAATTGAACATTTGAGCATACAAAATACAAATATGAATTTAGAGCAACTTGCTAACAAAACAAGAATTCAACTATATGAAGAGAGACAAAAAAGTCTTATTATAATTCTTACTACAAATAAGTATAAAACTAACACATCAAGCTCTGATGCTTCAGTAATTGAATTCTTATCTATTCTCGTAACTGCATAAGGGAATCTCACAACTTTCACCTCAAATTGTGACATTATTTCACATGTTTAGAGTTCCTACATACAAGAATTGTAGGAGTGGTAAATAAAAGTTCTTCTTGAAAAAGTTAAATTTATAGAACAAAATTATGGAAACATAAAAAGTCACATGAATTATTGTTAAAATAAATATAAAAAAGATAGAGATGAAATTTAATTTTAAAGATACATGAATCTACTTTAATTTCTTGATAATTACTCATTTTTATTTTTATTTACATTTATGTTAGAAATTTGAAAGGTCAAGATTATGTAATGAGAATAAGAAGATTATATATATATAAATTATATAAGTTTTAATTTATTAGAGGGGCAAAATGGTAATTTAACTTTTAAATTTTGAGCTTCATGTTTATAATAATATATGATATATATCATAAATAGGTTTTCCTTTTAGGAAAAGGTTTCGGATTAAACTAATTCTTTTTCTAGTAGGAAAAGGTTTAAGACTCTATAAATAGAAACATGTTCCTTCTAACTTAATTAGCATTCACAATGTAGTCTTAAGGGCTTTGAGAGTTTTGGTTAGGGGAAGAATTTATGGGTCACAAGCTTGATACGTTATCACTTGTGTGAACCTCCCATGTATTCCGAGTGAATTGATTGAGGTTGTTCCTCTCTGTATTTTTGTACTCTCATATTTATAGTGGATTGCTCATCTCCTTCGTGGACGTAGGTCGATTGACCGAACCACGTTAAATCTTTGTGTCTTTTGGTATATTTTTCGTTGTCTACTTACTCGTGGTCTTTTGAGGTTTGCTTTGCTAGCTTCCGCATTTACACCTACTTATTTTCGGTCCTAACAAGTGGTATCAGAGCCAAATTCAATTACGGAGTCAGGTTCAGTGGTTCAATAATCGATGATTGAACCAGGTTAGAAAAAGGTGTTCATCTTGACGGGTGTAGTTCTTGCCACAACCTTTTTTGACAGTAATGAAGATTTTGTTGGAGAAATTGTTTTAGAGAGGTTCTCTATGTTGAGACATAAATTTTGCAAAAGAGATTATGGAGAGGAGTAGCAAGTTGTTGAAGATTAAGTGAAGAAGGTGGACAAATTTATTTTGTCATAAATTCAGGTCAAGGGGGAGATCTGTTGGGTTTTATTTGCCCTGATTTCTTACCATAAATAGGTTTTCCTTTTAGGAAAAGATTTCGGATTAAACTAATCCTTTTTCTAGTAGGAAAAGGTTTAGGGCTCTATAAATAGAGACATGTTCCTTGTAACTTAATTAGCATTCACAATGTAGTCTTAAGGGCTTTGAGAGTTTTGGTTAGGGAGAGAATTTATGGGTCACTTGTGTGAACCTCCCATGTATTCCGAGTGAATTGGTTGAGGTTGATCCCCTCTGTATTTTTGTACTCTCATATTTATAGTGGATTGCTCATCTCCTTTGTGGACGTAGGTCGATTGACCAAACCACGTTAAATCTTTGTGTCTTTTGGTATATTTCTCGTTGTCTTCTTACTCGTGGTCTTTTGAGGTTTGCTTTGCTAGCTTCCACATTTACACCTACTTATTTTCGATCCTAACAATATATATATATATATATATTCCCTTGTGGGAGATACAAGTGTTTTTTTGCCATTTATATTTTCAAATAATTTTATTCAACCATTTTTTCTCTCTACAAATTAGAGTTCAGCCAATAGATCAAACGATTATATTGTTAATCATTTAGGTGTCGTTGGAGCACGTAAGAATAATGCTTAACAAATTATATAAAATGAAGTGTATAAAACAAAAAAGAGAAAGAGACTTGGGCAGAGAATTGTATAAAACGAATTGTTACAAAACGAATTGTATAATTATTAGTGTATAGAACGATTATATACAATTTGAATTTGTATAAAATGAGAAAGAGAGAAAGGCAAAAGAGACTTGGGCAGGGGAATATACAATTGAATCGAATCATATAAAACGAGAAAGAGAGAAATTATATACAATTTAAATTTGTATAAAACGAGAAAGAGAGAAATTATATACAATTTGAATTTGTATAAAACGAGAAAGAGAGAAGGGCAAAAAAAACTGGGCAGGAGAGTATTTTTATTGTATAATTATAAGTATATAGGACGTAATTATATGTATTTGCATGTGTATATACAATTTTCTCTCGCTTTATACAAACAGAAACACAATTTATACATTTCATTTTTTTTGTATAAGTGAGAGACGTGAGGGTGGCGAGCGAGATTGGGGAGAATGGCAAGCGAGATCTGTGAGAGGAGTGAGAGGGGAACAAAAAATATGTATTTGTACAATTTCCTCTCGCTATATACAAATAGAAATAGATTTTATACACTTTGTTTGTATAAAAGTGAGAGGAAGCAAGCGAGAGAGGAGAGTGGCGAGCGAGAGTTTGAGGGAGAGAGGATAGACAAATAGTTTGCTACGGGACACAATTAAATCAAGGGGGTGGTTCTAGCAATTAATTTTATTTATTAGTTTGTC